CCGCCGTCCCATCAGGACCATGCCTGGGTCCTATGGGATGGCGGCAATCCTAAACTGCATATGTACATATACATATGCGTTTAGGAATCCTTGGCGTGCAGGCCTGCACGCCAGTCTACACTCTGTAGATTGGCGTGCGGGCCTGCACGCCAATTTTCTTTGGCGTGCAGGTGTGCACGCCAATCCGCACCTGGCGTGTGGTTTGGCGTGCGCCAGGGGGGCTGGCGTGCGTTTATCAACGCCCTACACATAATAATAATTGTTATTTAACCCAAGGGGGTTACATTCTATTGTAGACACCTGGGCTAGTGTCTCAGTGTCTGACATTCGCCCCCACCAAAAGGAAAATTCCATCAGGAATTTTTCGATCTTTTGGTAGCTCTAAATCTTCTTAACAAGACTTGACAGTTGTCTATCTTTTCAGACTCTAGCCACAAGTCTTGATCAGGTTGACAATCTTTAAATCTTACCAAGTACAATTTGCAGTCTTTTCCATTCTTTCTTACAATTTTTTCTTTCAAGATTTTTGCTGCAGTTTATGGTACGGTATCATCTGTTATGGGAGGAGCAATAGCTTCATTAGATGACCGGTCAAAACTACTATCTTGTACAATGTATTTTTTGCAAAGACTTATAGGAAAAGTAGGATGTCTTTGACTAAATTCTTCTGTTAAAATAACTTCAACAGCGTTTCTACCGTGAAATTCTTTAATAACAAATGGTCCTATGAAAGCATCTTTTAGTTTTCGAGGTCCCCCTAAGTTATTGAAGTTTACCGTAGAGATAAGAACTAAGTCACCAATCTTCAAATTGTGGTCTCTATGAGTTTTATCCCACCTCTCCTTGTTATACTCAGCAGCTTCTTTTACGCAGAGAGCAGCTTTTTCTTCTGCTTGGAACATCATTGTTTGAAAGCATTCTGAACTGGGGTGCAATTCAATTGTCTTGGAAAGCAGAAAGTCCTTGGGCATATGAGGAATCCATCCCCTCTCAAGTTCAAAAGGAGTCATGCCTGTGACAGAATGCTTACTGGAATTGTAAGCAAATTCTAGTGCTGGCAAAAGAGAAACCCAGTCATGAGTGTAACCATCACTAGTCTTGAAATCAATTCCGTACGCGCAATATCTCCTGATCATGTCTTCAAGAGTTTGGATCATTCTTTCTGCTAGCCCATCAGTTTGAGGGTGATAAGCTGTAGAAAAAGCTAACTTAGTGCCTAAAATTTCAAACAGATTTTGCCAAAAGTCTGATGTAAATTTTGGGTCTCTGTCACTAATGATGATTCTTGGACATCCAACATCACTGACAATATTATTCCAAAATATAAGTGCTATATCCATTGCACTACTATCTTTATAGCAAGGCAAGAATCTTGCTCTTTTGGAAAATCTATCACAGACTACTAACACAGCATTATAGTTCTCTGGTCCTGCTGCAGGAAGCGCTGTAACAAAGTCCATATTGATGATTTCCCATCTTGACTTTGGCTCATCAATCGTTTGTAACAAGCCAAATCGTTTTCCTGTAGCTTTATTGGCTTTTTGACACCTGTCGCAAGAATCACAGTAATCTGACACTTGATTTTTCCAATCTGGCCACCAAGCCAGACCCTGGACTCTATTCAGAGTCCTTTCTTTGGAAAAGTGGCCAGAAGTAATTGTAAGGACTCCGTCGAGTCCTTCACTGTCCGTCGGAAATGGCACTAGACAAGGGCTCAATAGCTCCTGAGGGAAGGATTCTAGTACCAAAGTGTGTTTTATTTCAGTTCTAGACGGGAGAGAGAGATCTCTCTGTTAGTATCTACAAGTGAAGAAAAGGAGGAAAGAAATGAGAAGAGAATGAAGGAGGATTGGGTACTTACCTAGACGGGAGAGAGAGATCTCTGCTGTCTAGGTAAAGGGGGAAAGTGAGACTAAATACAAGCCAGAACAAGCTTATGTAATCATGTGACATGTTTGTGTAAGCCTGTGAGGAGCAGGGCTTACAGTCTCCCCTCCTATAAGAGAAAATAAAGAGGGGGAAATTAAACAAAAGCAAGAACTGAGGAAAAAAAACTGGAAAGCAGGGGAAGTGTAGAAGAGTTCAGGGGTGGTGGCTGATACTGGAACCAAAACTGAGAGGAGCTTGAGGAAAATAGAATTAATATAGAAAGG